ACACACACACACACACACACACACACACACACACTTGATTGCGAGGATTGCTCTGAAAGTATCATCTGTTACAAATTTGTAATCAAGTTTTTGAATTCTGTTGAATAACGAACAAAGAAAATTTAAAAAGTTTTGCTGCAGCATCAAAAACAAAAAGAGAAATGTCCCAGAACAGCCAATAACCACTCCCTGTCACTTATCTCACGTATCCAGACTAGTATCTCAACAGTGAAATGTTGAACTGGATGACTCTGCTTGATGTCGTGTGTGTGCTTGCCACAGTCGTCAGGATCTGGCATGTGGTGCCGTGCGTTACTGTCAAATGTGGCGTGCTGTAACAGAGCTCTGCGCTGATCTGTGTTGACAGCTGCTCGGCAGCAAAACACACACTGCTCCTGTCATTTTACAGATACAATCAAACGCACAAAGACCTAGTAATCACCAGGAAAATGACGACAGTATAAACTTTGGCATCTCTAGCAGTCGTGTGTGTGTGTATGTGTGTGTGTGTTCGAATCATCTGGAAGTGTAGCTCCTGGTGCACTCACAGCTATTAGTGAATTTGAGGTAGCACGTTGTGGGAAGAATCATGGGTGAGAGGATGAGTGTGTTATAGGAGGCAAACGTTCTGAGGGGTGTCCACCAAACACAAGGGAGCTGGATGATTCATAGCTGATGGGAAAAGAGAGTGCCCCCCCCCCCCAACACAGTGGTTACTCCCACTTCTTATGTGTAGAGTCACTGTTTGTCTCTGACCCTCATCATGTCTCTGTGTTTGTATAGGTCTCCTCTTCAGATGAAACCATGGCTGAGGGGAGCTGCTTTGGTGCATTGTAGTTGTTTAGGATGACCAGAGCTGAATCTTGCGTCACAGAGGGAGAGGGGCACAGCGAAGAAGAAAGAATCGGTGGAGGAGGGAAAACATCTGCTCGGAGAGGATAAGATCAGCAGCCCATCTGGATCTGAACAGGGAACCTACTGGACCTCTCTCTGTGGAAGGAAAGGAATTTCCGTCACTTCTGAGGAGCTGTAACAGACTTTAAAAGTTTTATTTTTCTCAATCACTGGTTGTTGCCGTTTCAAGAGGGGTCAGCGTCATGTGCCATGTCATTGTAACGTGCCGCTCCATGCTCTGGACACTGCTCAGTATTGTGGTGGCCTTTGCTGAGCTCATCGCCTTCATGAGTCCTGATTGGCTGCTGGGTGTCCCCCGCTCTGACTTCAGTGTGAGTGGTGCGGGAGTGGATTCTGGGGAGTACCGGCCGTCGCTCGGTCTCTACAGCCGCTGCCTGCAGGTCAGGGCGCGGGGGGTGAGCTGTGGGCCCTACGCCGGGACGTTTGGGGAAGTGGCCAGTGGCTTCTGGAAGGCTGCCATGTTGTTTCTGGCTGCAGGGACGTTGGTGCTGGGGTGCGTGGCCTTTGTCTCCATCTTCAGCTTGTGTTTTCAGAGCATCCTGAAGAAGAGCATATTCAACATCTGTGGGCTGCTCCAGGCTATTGCAGGTGAGATCTTCTACACAAACTGTTCTCTCGGTGATCAGTTTCACTCAAATTGTAATTTATTTTATTTGAGTTTTGCCTTAATTCAACAGTGTAGACAGAGAGCAAGGATAATAGAGTGAGAGAGGTGTTACAAAGGTTCTCAGTGTGATGTCCCAGCAAAAGAAAAAAAATGCTGGTGGCCCTCGCAGCACTTCAGTCTCAATGAAGTGATTGTTCGGTGCACCTGTCTACAGTTTTCAGGCAGTTAACATTCATGTTTGGGGCGTAGCTCTGCCGAGAGAGCCAATGGGAGGGGATGGATCATATTGGTTGTTGCCTGCTTTTGGTAACTTTTCTAGGATTACCAACCCCAGCTTTGAGAGCAAAGGTGCAAAATGTGACTTTTTGTTTGTTTACTTTTAACTTATTTTGCAGAAATTATTGCAAATAAGTGTTGATCATGGAATATGTAAGCATATTTCATATGATGTATATACAAGGATTCCCCCTAAACATAAACAATCAGAAACAAAATTAAATGCATGTACATTTTTTTGGCATCCTCTATGCTCAGAAAAAGCAGAAAGAACAAATGACAAACTCAGGAAGTTAAACTAAATCTAATTTGTTGTCGAGGCTCATTTTAATGGTGTTATATCTATGTTGGCAGATGGTCTATCGTGTTTACACATCTATGCAAGCACATCGCTGTTTTTTATAATCTTGCCATAAGCTCGAGGGAATTTCCGTATAGATTTTACGAGGTGAAGGATCTGAGTTTACAAGTTGGCAACGTCCACGGGCGTTCCATTACATGTTCCCTAATTGGGGTGTCTCTCTGCGTGTTTCTCTCAACAATAGGCTCCCACAGGTGTGTTTGGCTGGAGCGGGTCATCTGTCATTATGTGACATCACTATAGGGGCCGTTCAAACTGGTCCACAAGTTCCTCTCATCACAAAATCAAACACTGAAAAACAGAAATATTCACCAGAGCTGAGTCACCACCAGCTGCACCACGATCTGTTATTACTTTCGGTCGTGGTGTTTACACAAATGTGACTAAACCCCTTCCGTATCTTCCTCTCCCCTCCCCTCCAGGCCTGCTGCTGATGGTGGGCCTCATGCTGTACCCTGCCGGTTGGGGTTCAGAGAAGGTCATCAGCTACTGTGGCTCTGAGGCCTCACCCTTCAGGCCGGCTCTGTGCTCGCTCGGCTGGGCATTCTACGCTGCGATAGGAGGAACGCTGGCAACCTTCCTATGCTCCGTTCTGTCCGCGCAGGCTGAGATCGCCACCTCCAGCGATAAGGTTCAGGAGGAGATCGAGGAGGGGAAGAGTCTGATATGCCTGCTCTGAGCCTTCAGCATCGTTGGGACGACATCCTTCGCTGTAATAGAGTGACTGTCCTCGCGAATCAGCTGATTGTTGAAAAGAGGAAAGGCTTGGTAACAGCTTTTCAAAATATTAGGTGGTGTACTCACTTGCTGAAGCCTACCCGAGGCCAAGAACGTCACCCATATGCTTATTCTGTGTTTTCTTTTTTCGTTTTTTGTTTATTTTTTACCAAGATACTGTTTATTTTTGTAATAATTCTCGCCTTAAACAAACCACTGTACTAGAATAGCAGGAGATACGCATGTGCTGTTGTGGACAGGTTCAACACTGCTGCCAGTAAAACAGTGTGTAGGATTGTAAAGTCATTAAAATGTTCATTTACACGGTTCACCTGTAAACCTCAACAAACCACTGAATACTAGCAGATGTGCCCACGACAGAAAACCCCCAACAATGTGTGTGTGTGTTTGTGTGTGTGTGTGTGTTTGTGTGTGTGTGTGTGTGTGTGTGTGTGTGATAGGCGTTAACTGTTGAAGTTTCCAAATGTCCAAATGCTCTGATTCTGCGGCTCAGCAGGACAGTGAGATTTAAGGGATTTGCTCACTTCAAAAGACGTTCAGTTAAATGGATTTTTCGTGGCTCTATCGTAGCTTACTAACTGGCAGAGTGTGTGCGGAGACTTTCCATATGTTTCACTGTGTTGAGCTTTCACAGGCGTGGGGGGAGGGGGTTGCTCTCAGCGAGATAAAGCAGACTGCACCACAGCTTATCACAAGCTACCTGACGCGAAGAGACGCAAGACAAGATCTGGCTCTGGACAGCAGTCCAAACACAACACAGTGGGTGGAAACTCAAAAAGCCTTTGATGGATGAAGGCGAAGACTCCCAGTGGATCATGGGAGATGCCACGTCAGACTTCTTTAGAGAGATTGTAGATTCAGAGCATTCCCGTTCACTATAAGCACCTGATGTTGTGCTGTGCACTTGGCCCCTAAGCTCTTTTCACATTGCTACACAAGTCGCTGTAGATCTAATATGATTCATATGATGCTGTGCTTTTTCTCCATCGTAGATGAGATGTGCAATAATTGAACTGTAGTGTGTTTGGCTGCGAGAGTGAGTGGACCGAGAGATGAAATCACGGCATGGTTTTGTATCAAGAAGCATTTCTCTGTGTTTAAATAATTGTCCGCTGTTTTTGTTACATTAACAAAAGAGTGACGGCATCTGTGGAACGTTGTGTGACGCTGCATGTACGAGAGGTTGATGTGTGTGAATAGAGACAGTCTGAACTCAAATAAACCAGGCCTCCTCCTGTACATCTGTGTGGTGATTGTGTCGTCTTTACCTCCAACAAGGAGGTTATGTTTTCATTCCCTGTTTTCCGTGTTTGTGTTTCTCTCAGCAGGATTACACAAAAACAACTGAGGCGATTGTCTGTGGTAGAGTGGTGGAGCATGAGTCCAGGAAGAACCCAGCAGACCCAGGTAAAGTTTCTTTAACAAAGCAGGATGGGATGTTAACCACGTACTCTACAAGCACTGGTCTAAGTTTCTACTACTACTGCTTAGTAAATCTCTTCTAGTAAATCCCAACCTTCTGAGGAAACCTACACAAAGAGATGGAAGTTTGGTTGGGAAACACTGGGGTTTACTTCTCAGTGTTACTAGATACATTTAAAGTGTTACCCCTCAGTTTTGATTCATCAATCCTCTTTAAACTTATCTTTTGGTTGTTGTATGCAAACTGTGAAAAGGGTCATGAAGAGACCGTCCTCTATTTTAAATGGTCACAACCAAAATAGGTTTGTGTCACTGATCCCGAGCAAATATCTGGTCAAATATATTTAGATTTTCAGTAAAAATTATGAGGCTTGATTTCGTTTTTTCTGAAAATAAATCCACAAAAATTTCTTTCAAATTTTATTTCATGTTAATACCATAAATATACAAAACTCAAACTATTTCACATGCGACAAAGGCCAGACGAGAGTGCATTACATTTTCTTTTTACATGTGACTATTAATGGGGATCAAATTTTCAACTTTACAAAATATACAGGTGTCCCTTTCGAATGAGTTTCTTCTCTGATTCAGTGAAATAATGTGTCAGCAAACTTCAAACACGTTCTGTACTGCGGACCAGCTCGCCAAATACATCAACTAATCACCCACGTAGGCATGGCTTCATTTAACAACTGCTTAAAACTATAGATACATGGAAATCATGTGTGTAGCAAAGATAAGTTGTGTTAATACCTCAAAGTAAAACATGGCAAGGGAACACGTCACAAACAGAGATTTAAAAACAAATCTAAATGGACATTTGGTTGATCTCTCACAGCTTTTCAGGACTTAGAATAACACTTGAGGGAGATTTTTTCTTTCTTTCATACCAGTCATACACACATCCTCATCCACACGAGCACAACTCCTTCAGGATCAAGTTGCAAAGTCGTTAAACACTTTTAATCTAGTTTATGCTACGATAATGCCATTAATAAAAAAAAACACACACAAACATAATACATAATGTAAAATCAAACCAAACACGACTGAAACGCAAACAACTTAAATTACACCATAAATAAAAACATGTTTTGTCTTTTGCACTAAGTTTAACGGAAAACAAGAAATGTGCAATGAATTTAAAACAAAAATATTTTGAAACAAAATGCTGCCAAGACGTTTTCTTACAATGTCATGACGAGTTATTGATCTTAAGCTTTGTAGCGATCACAGGAGTATTTCTTCCAGTTTAATGTTCAGTCTGCACATTTCTAATGTGGTTACAGCAGCACCAGTCATCAATCATCGATCATGCTCGTCTTACTCTCACCACGATGATGAGAGATACACATATGTAACCCACAAGCATACTTCACTTCAATGACAGTAGTCTGTACAACTTAGTGCTGAATAACACTGTTATTATTGTATATAAATTAACATAGCTTAGTTATATCACTGTGTCACGTCCAGTCCTGTCTTATCTTAATGTTCTTTATGGCTGAGAAACTTCTGATGCCAATACTGATGGCAAAATCAGTGGACTGGCTTTGTCTGTAAAAATGCAAACGGACTGTTAGTGTACATATAAGCTGTATCAGTGTTTTCACTTGTTTGAGTATTCAGGATAATCTCAGGAAAAAGAAAACAATAGCTTTATCACTGTCCAGGTCATCTTCCATGTGAAAAGGCAGGTCAATTCTCTCAGTTATCACTATGTACGTTATTACGCATCCTTTTCAACAGGAGGCCACGACCTAGCAGCTCTCCAGACTCATAGCAGCGTTAGTGTGCAGGGCTCCAAAAACCACTGAGGGGGGAGTCACACGATTAATGTCGCACATACGTAAAAGGAAACACAATTATTCCTCAGGCGTTCTCCCCCTTTTTAGTGCACGAGAGCACCGGAGTGCTGTTTGTGGTGAGAACGGGTGACATATTCTGACCTGGGTGATCAGTGCGTCTCCACAAATAGATCCAAACGTCATCAATCAGTCAAACAGCCACAGGGGCATGCAATAACTTTACAGCTCATTTCTCACAGGAACTGACGGGAAATAATAGTTTCATGAGGAAAGGCCAATAGCGGATTGAGCCACTTCTACCTTCGGTGTGCTTAACATGCACGTCGTTTACATGCTGTCCCATCTTAGTAAGCAACAGAGATTCCGACTCGGCACAGTCAAATAAAGTAGCACACAGAGAGGTAATGATTCATCTGACATGTGTCGCTGGAGGTCTGTTCGGGGCAGGTCCTTAAATAGGAACATACAGACATAGTCCTATTAATGACAATTAGGTTTTACCATCACAAGAATGGTATTGTTTGAGAGTAGAAGCACTGATAAAGTACAAGGTAAAATTCAAATTTCATACCTTCATGATCATTGATTGATCATGATTAGCCACAATTGTCTTTTAAGTTAAGTACACATTCACACGCAGCTGCAGCCAATCCAACATATACTGTACTTTAAGTATCTGACCAAGAAAAACAGAATAATGTGCAAAACACCATGATCGGATTATCACTTTTCATGACTCTATACTGTATTAACCAATAACCAGGCAGGAAGCTGTTTAGACGTCGTCACCATGACAAAAATAAGGAATGCTAGAACTGTCATTTCGGCCTGATGTACTATCATCACCGAACAGAGGAGGACAGAGGAGCAGGAAGAGGAAAAGGAGTGAGAAAGAGAGAGTGAGATGAACTCCCACACACTCGGAACACACCTTGAGTCATTACGTGGATGTTTCAAGGGAAGTGAGTAGACTGTCACCCGACTGAAAAGCAGACAGGGCGGATGTAGAAGAGTTTTTACTGATATATGAGGATGAACAGCTCTGGACACTTGTTACTTACGTTACACTTTTTTAGCAAAGTGTGCGGGGCAACCGTAGCATTGCAACATTCATAAATTAAAATCAATTTGATCTGAGAACCAGCAGGGCCAGAGCTGTGCATCTCCACCTTTTCACTGTGTGTGTGTGTGTGTGTGTGTGTGTGTGTGTGTGTGTGTGTGGTGATCCTGCCTTCATTTAGGTCCTCAGAGGGAGGAAAAGAGGAGTCATTATCCGCAGGACATGCATCCTCACGGACGAAACCTTACTTAACATTACTTCTGCCTCTAGCCATTAATTTGGTGCACTCACGATCAACGAGAAG